GGGGGGGGGCTCCGTTGCGCTACAGCACGATCTCCTCCAGCCGGCAAGAAGTTACGCTCCTGGGGAAGAGTATAGTGACCTCTCCTCTTTGCCATTTTTTTTATTCTCCTGTCTCTCTTGGCGTTTTTTTTTATCTCCCATTCCGCCTTTTCAAAGTGTTTTCAACCTTTGGGGGTATGTGTATTCGTCTCTCTCGGTCATTCGCTTAAATGGGTTTAATAATGTCACTTGTGCAATTGCCCTCCGGGATGAGGAGAGTAAAAAATAAAGAATAGAGGTGACGTTATTTGTCGCTTCCTCATTTTCTCAAATGCGACACGAGAATCTTGTAGAAAATTTTTCAAGCAATGAAAGAGATTACACTAACGATAATTGCACTTCATTGAGATATATAACGAAAGGGGAACTATTTTGTTATATTTATTATTTATGAATGAACAATTTCGAGGTCATTAACGTGCGATAAAAAAAAATTGAGGTGTTGATGGTTTTTCTCGGGGATTTGTTCTATTCGTGTCGAGAGTAGGAAATCTTTTGTTGTTCTTTCAACGCTGTTTTTTTCTTTCATTATGTTTTTTCGTGTTTCTTTTTACCAATAGTTTTCAAATACCGTCACGTATAACACGGGGGCTTTTGGGCTCAGTACCATGAATGACAATAAACACATGGGCTGCAGAATCAAATGTACGTGACCATGATATTTAAGTGGTGTCACAAGGTATTGAGTTCAAATACGATATTTCAACATTTTTAAGTTGTGAAAAAATTGCTGAATAGAAGAATTGAAATGTTCCAACTGGAAATTGTTTCATTATGAAGCATTTGCCTTTTGCTTTTGAAACTTTCATTTTCATTATTTCTTCATTTGTCATTGCGTATCAATTTCAAATTGATAATTCAACTAATCAAGTGAATAAAACTATATTTTCCAACATTCCAATTATCTAAACAAAATAAAACAATCGAATCCGCATTCTGTTTCCAACCACGGCAAATACCTCCATATAATAAGGACAAAAACCCAAACATATTCCCCTAAATAAATGAGATAACAACGG